AATAAATAGAATGAAAGAGGGCTGTAGGCCCTATCATGTTTCTTTTCAGCGCGTCATCTCCATGTTACGTTTATCTCTGCAATTTCATTTTTCGTGGAATGACACCCCCCCCCATAACTATATTTTTTTGTAATCTCACTTCTTTCTTTGCCAGTGGGATTTACATTAACAATTGTAAAACATAGTTCTGTTTGTAGACGAGTACCTGTGCTCAGTCAGTTGCTGTGATTTAGAGAAAGAACCTCTTACAAATCTCTTCTAGTTTCAAACTAATGTAGAATCATTTTCTCCTATTTATTAGTTACCGTTTGTGTTAGTTATCAACATTTCAGTTTATCTGTATGAAATGCTGCTTTTTTAGTTAAATGGATACCTTTTGGGTTGGTTATCAACATACTTTTTGATCTCTATGAAATGTTGTTTCATTAGATTTATTAAGTAAGATTCTTTTGAATTCTTTTGGCTAAATGTATGCTACTGATAGCTTTGGCAGAATCTCGAATACTGTTTTCTCAGCACAGCAGCTTATTTTATAGTCCGTGTTATATCCTTTCAATTTCATGGCTGCATTGCCCTGTTTTATGTCATTCTGCCGTCCTTATCTTTCTAATTCTGTGACATTTTTGTTTATTTTTAATGATTATGGGACTTATTTAACGGGCATACACTATAGAAAAAAAAGCAAACAAAACCCCCAAAATATAACAAAACAAAAAATAAGTACATATGTATTACATTGCGTGTTGCTCTTTTAATTGTTCTTTAGAAGAATAGAACTGTAGACTTTATTGTTTCCTTTCATGCCATTGGCTTGATTGAAGGTCCAAATTGCTATTGGAACACAACGGAAAATATTATCTGTATACATGTTCTTAGTTTTGTCTTCAGTTGTTTCTTATTTTCTCTTAATTGTTTTACTTTTACCTCGTTTTATCTCCAGTGAAATTATTTTCTGTGGACTTTTTTTTTCTCTTTTACTCATTATATGGAACCCTTTAGTCAACTACAATAACAAGCAGTTTGATGTACTTTTATATATATATTTTTTTTTACCACCAACACTGTTATAGTTCATGTTGCTGGGGTTGTATTGATTATGTTGGTAATGCAGAAACTGCAAGTACAGGGAGGTGGGTTGTTGGCAGGTGCTCTGGTGTGGTTTGCTCCTTCTTTCCTATCAAACGTCTATCGTCCTTATCTCCCCTTCTTCTTTTTTA